GGGTTTGAGCTCACTAATACCCGCTTGGACGGGGAACATCACCCTAAGATTTCAGCTTTCTAGCTTTTCAGATCCCCGAGCTATCAACTTACCCGAGAAAGATTTTGGCGGGCTCTTACGTGAGTATCACGCGGGTAAGACCGCCTATTTCGGGGATGGGGCCCGTACGTGCACGAAGATTATTTCCCCAAAGTTTCAGCCCTGTAGCTTTTGCCGGTCTCGAGATGAAAAATCGGTACAGACGAACAGACTGACACACAGACACACACACAGACAACCTCTCGTCAATATGCGTTTTCTGCATTGCACAGCTGCAAAAAAACGCGTAAAAAGGAAAAATGGAAGCAAATGAAGTTTGGGATCAATAGTAAGTTAACAAGCAGAATAATACAGCTAAAATTGCAAAAACCACAAAATGACTAGCAGATATCTGAATGGCCCAAAGTGGTGCTACCAAGAAAATGCAATTTGCCAAAAAGTCGAAGCATTCTTAATTTTTTGGGGATTAAATTTTAATTTCTCGAGGAAACTTGCTACTATACGCGTTTTTAATGCCAAACAAATTCCAGCGTGGCATGTTATCATTAGCGGTAACGCTTTGCGAAATGTTGGGATGCTTAAGTATTTTGTTAAATTTATTTATAATTGGTACTCTGATAAAGCATCGGAAACGTGTGCTCAAAAATGTCTTCTATTTGATGGTGTTTCACTGCGCTGTTGTTGATCTCATACGGGGTTGCTGCCTGATCGTTTGGGGTTTACCGCATATCATTATCAATAATCGTTCTACCATCCATGATCGTTTGTTGGTTTTAAAAGTAAGTTATATGACTCTTAAAATTTCGGCTTGCCACGAACAGCCTGTCCTTTACGTTGATTCTGCCAAAGCAATGCAAATTAGTAAAGTAGCGTAGGAACTTTATTCACTTTTCAGATAAATCAATTTACGATAATTATATTGCGATCCTGTAATCTATTGACAATATTCAATCTTTTGGTATTCACTTGTAATGAATTCATCGTTATTCGATACCCTTTTCAATATAGGCGGCACTTCAGACGGCGCGCTGTTTTTATCTGCTTGTTTCTTAGGTAAAAATATTACAATGATACACGCAAAGAACACGTTTTCATTCAAGTATAATTTTTTTGCTTCCGTTCTTCGAAAAGAAATAATTGGCCAACGCACGGGCTGCCCGTGCGAAGATGCGTTTTTCGCAGAGTTCCCCGCAGTTTTTTATCGGCAGATGCTTCTAGCTGAAAGAATTTTAGACTGGCCGCCAGAACTGCCAGGAAACATCCCCTCAAAATTCCAGTCTTCTAGCTTCTCACGTTC